TCTTGGAAATTTAGTGATTTAGGGAGACTCTCTTTCAAAATTAAAATTAAAAAGAGCTGAGAATGTAGCTCAGTGCAATGACCCTGGGTTCAATTCCTAGTACTGCAGAGAGAAAAAAGTAACGTAGCATTTTGTTCCTAAGACATTTGTTATTAATAAGATCTATAATTTCATAATGTTATAGAGTCACCCAAAAATGTATACATCAGGAAAAGAAAAAGTTGTACAAAATTTTAATACTAAATTTACTGAGATATCATGGAATTAATACAAGTTACCTTTGGCCTCTACATTTACAAGACAGGCTTAAAGTGGTGGCCATGGGCTTCCAGACATTTGTTAGTATAGCAAACTATTGAAGTATATATATATATATATATATATATATGCAGGCTCTGTATATAATTATATATTGTATATAACATACAAATTAATAATATAAGTTATACAATTTCTGCAATATTAATACAATATTAAATAAAAGATAACATTCATCTAAATCCCATTAACCCAACAGATAATACTTTATTTCAACTGGCTTAATATGAACATTAGTTTTACTGCATAGGACAGTGGCTAACAGAAAACGCATAGAATGAGCTGAGAGATCTTCTTAGATCGCAGGTACCTTATTTATTATTATGAATAAGTTATAATTTGGATTTAGTTGTTTCTCTCCCACCTTTGGAAGAGTTTGAGGACTATTCATATGCTAAAAGGCCATTTACTCAGATGCTAAATATTAGATTTTCCAAACAAAAACTATTCAAAAAGAGTATATTATAAGGGACTAGGGGTTTAGCTCACTGGTACCACACCTGCCTCTCAAGCCCAAGTTCCTGAGTTCGATCCCCAGTACCACACAAAAATAAGTATATTACACACACACACACACACACACACACACACACACACACATATATTTAGAGGCAGTCTATGTTGCCCAGGCTGCACTCCAATTCTTGATCCTCCTGCCTCAGCCTCTAGAGTGCTCTGATTATAGGTGTGCGCCATGACACTGAGCTTTCCATGGCTTTAAAACTGCACATGGTTCTGACTAGCTTAATGAAATCTCAAGGTGTCCTGCACCATCACAACCTGGACAGGAATCATTTTTTTGAGCAGCATCTCCACCCTGTGCATCCACCTCCCCTCTGGTCACTACTGAGGCCACTGTTCTTTAAGCCTATTTTACTTGATGGGGACCTTAAAACTCAAAAGTAGCAGTGCTGGCCATTTGGAAAAGCCAAAGGGAAGCCAGAAAGTGCTTCCTGTAAGTGAAAAGGTGAAAGTTCTTGACTTAATAAGGAAGGAACAAAAATCACACGCAGAGGTTGCTAAGATCTATGGTAAGAACCAATCTTCTATCTGCGAAATTGTGAAGAAGGAAAAGGAAATCCTTTGCAGCTTTGCAGTTGCTCCTCAGAACACCAGTCATGGCCACGGTTCAGGCTAAGTGGTTAGTGAAGGTAGAGAAGGCATTGAGTGTGTGGGCGGAGGACATGAGCAGGCAGCGAGTTCCCATGCAGGGCAGCGGGCTGCACCAGAAAGCCCTGAGCTTGTAGTCGGACTTCGGCAAGGTTTCGCCAGAGCGGGGCTGTGACATTCATGAGAGAAGTATGTTCACTGCAAGCAAGGCATGGTTCCACAGATTCAGGCACAGGTTTGAACTGAAAAGCACCAAAGTTACTGGAGGGGCCGCATCTGCCCATGAAGAACTGGCTTCCGCCTATCAGGCAGAGCAGGAAAAGTTGGTTAAGCAGAGAGGATGCCCTAACTTTTATTACAGCTGTCTGTTGTCATTCTCTTATTGTGCTTAATTTATAAGCTGTTTTTGCTCTGTTAGTTGAGGGGTGCTACTGCTTTCCCTGTGCTGCAGGTTACACTGCAAGAGACCTACCCTCTGAGGTCTCCAAGACTTCACTGTGGGTGTGCTGCAACGCGAGTACTGAGGATGGGAAGCAGCTGCCATTAGGATCGTGCTGGCATCTTCTGCTACCACCTGAGGACACAGAGAATGGCCTGGTAGGGGCTCACGTCTGCTGGGCCTGAGGCAGGAGTGGGGAGTGCAGTATTGAGCGGAGGTCCCACAGCTGTCCTGGTCCCTCAGGGACACTGCTCCTCCCCACACAGGGCTGTCATTTACACCAAAAGCAGGGCTGCTGCATGTGCATGTCACCCACCTGAAGCCAGATGACAATTCATTTCTGGGATTTATTTTTCCTCTTTATCAATGTGCAATCTGTCCCATCTGTGTTTTCTCTTACCTGCCAGTCACCACTCTATTTCAGGGATCATTTCAGGCACAGGTGAATCATTGTTGAGAATAGCAGAAGACTTTCTGGCCTCTTTACTTTCATGTTTTAATTACAGGTCCAGGAAATAACAGGACTTCATTTCTTCCAGATCCCTCAGTTCAGCCAACCCTCTGGGCACTGTCCATGCCAGTGCAGCAAGGCAGGAGGACATGGAAGAGCTGGGGGGGGGGTGCGGAGATGAGGAGCAACTGGCTGCAGGGTCCCCTTGGCTGGAGGTCTGGAGAGGACAAGTCCAGCTGCCTGGACTGTGGGTCCCCACCTGTGCACCACTTGTATGGGGCTCCCACAGCAGGAGCAAAGTGGGACAGGCAGCTTCAAAAGGCAGCTGCTAACTTTGCAAGGACCTAGGATTTTCCTTCCAAGCAATAAACAAAGGGCTTCACACAGGCCAGGGCGTGCGGGAACCAGGGAGGAAAGCCATGACCACAGCCGATCTGGTTGCCTTGCCCTCACTGTACATGCACAGGCAGAGGGCAGGGTAAGAATGAAAAGGGGTGGGGTAGAGAGCAGGGTCTGATGGGAAGGGAAAGGAGAAAGCGGGGGGGGGGGGGGGGGGGGGGGGGGGGGGGGGGGGGGGGGGGAGGGGGGAGGGTGGCAGCACAGAGGGCCTCTGGTCTTCTGGGCCCAGAGTCCCAGTCAGCCCAGTGTTCCAGATCTGGGTCTGTTTCACCAGGCCTTCATCACAGGCCACGTGCAGTGTAAAGCAGTCCTGGGAGTTTTCTTGGTAGGAGGTATATATGCATGGTAGCTGATACCAGGAAACTCACATCCCTAATAAAAAACACTAAAAATTGGCCATAACCCTATTTAGCAAGCATGCATTCTCCATCTTCACTTTAAAAATTCCTGAGAATTGAGTTCAGTGTTTTCAGTTTTAATTTCAATTATTAGTTTAGGTGCTTTGATTTTCCTTCAAGTATGCCAGATTTTGAACATCTGGTAATTATTCCACAGCATTTCAGGGAAGAGATTCTAGAAAGAGCACAGCTAAAGGGCAGAGAAACTGTATCATTCAGCTTCCTTTTGCTAAGATGAAATACCAAATGCCTCCAACTTAGTGGAGGTTTACTTGGCTCATGAGTTAAGTGGGTTCAGTCCATGGCCCTCTGACTCCAAAGGAGAGAAGGCATGGTATAAGGGCATGGTAAAGGAAGCTGCTCATGCCATGGCTGTCAGGTAGCAGACAAAGGAGGGAGAGGCTGGGGAAAAAAATTCATCCTTCCAGCCACGCGTTGTGGTGCCAACCTGTAAACCCAGCACAAAGGAGGCTGACACAGGAGGATTATCGTGAGTTCAAAACCAGCCTGAATTGCCTATTGAGAACTTCTCTCAAAAAACAAAACAAACAAACCAGGTCACAACCTCAGGGGCCATCTCCAAACCAGGGCCTACCTCCTAACAGCACATTCAGCAATGAACCCAATTGATTAATCTACACAAGTGCAGTGTACCCAGGGTCATCCTGGGGGAAGGAGCTCATGTTCCCCAGACTGGAGGTCATCCGCAGGTGCTCAACTCTGTGTGTCCAGCCTCTCAGTTTGGAGAGTGACCTGTGTTCCTGCCCAGTGCAGCCACCAGCCTGGAGCCTGGCATTCACAGCCTCCTGGGGCCCTTGGGCCTGAATAAGGGTGTGTGAGGGTGGGAAGTCTTCTGCAGGTGGCCTCTCCCCTCACCACAGAGCACAAGGACAAAGCTGCAGCCCAGAGAACATCTTTTCTCTGCCCTGTGTGCAGCCTCCTGCTGTCTTGCAGCTGGACTGGGTGACACCACAGTCCCATCCCCATTCTTCCTGCTGGGGATAAAAGGGCCTCTCCCTGCCTTCTCTATGATGGACTGGGAATCACAGTGGCCCCAGCATCTGCTGAACAATGTTCCAGACTGGACCTAAGACATAGAACTAAACGGAATCCATGGATCTGAATGGGATCCTTCTACTAGAACAGATAAGGAGCAAACCTCAGAGACACTAAGGAGGACTAAGTGATAAACTGTGTTAATTTCCTAATTGTGAAGCTTGTATTGTAATTATCAGAACCAGGTCTGGTAATCCCAGTTACTGGAGAGGCTGAGGCAGGAGAATTGCAAGTTAAAGCTCAGCCTGGGCAATTTACAAAGACCCAGTCTCCAAAAAACAAAACAGAGTTGGGGATGTAGCTCAGTGCTCTCTAGGTTTAATCTTTGAGGGGAAGAAGACAAACAGAAACATGCAAAGCTGGCTAATGTTTCTCTGTGAGGAAAGAATTATGATTTTTTTGTTTTGAGACAGCCTCTCGCTATGTAGCCCACCTGACTTTGAACTCATTGCGATCCTCCTGACTCAACCTCCGGAGTGCTTGGACTACAGGTGTGCACTACCATGCTGGGCCTATAAATCAGTTCTTAAAATTAAAAAAAAATATATGTTCTATGGCACTTGCAACACGTTACTGTGTTGATAGTAGCTAGAGCATCATTATACCAAAACTGTCTAAATTTTTAGATCCATACAGAATGATAAAAATAGGGAAAATGCAATTTTCAAAATATCACTAAAGTGATATTTCACTTCAGCAAAGCATTAACGACAAGTTGGTTGTTTGGGTGGATTTAAAATAGCTGGCGCAGGGCCAGGGATTTAGCTCAGTGGAACTGTGCCTGCCTCGCAAGTCCAATGTCCTGAGTTCAATCCCCTGTACTGAAAAATAAAAGGCTGGCATTTGGGAAGTTTGAGTACATAAAACTCAGTAGCACTGATTTTTACTTGCAAACATCACTTAAAAGTTACAGATGTCAAGAAGGAGTTTAAAATAGTATATAAATTTTCATCATGTATCTATGATACAAAGGTTTTTTTCCTTCAACAAAGTTCATATCATACACCATATGGGATATAATTTAAATGTTATATATATAAAGTCCAATAAACAAAATTGTCTTTTCAGATCTTATATCTTCTCCTTAAAATCTCCAGATATTCTTGTGATGTTTCTGAAATTAGACCTTGGCTTGATTTATTAGCAGATCTTGTGGAAGAAACTTTAAAGGATTCAGATTCAAGTTTGGCAGGAGCTGGAAAGAAAAAGAGTTACAATCTTTACCTCAAAGACTTCATAGTTAACTAAACATGAGTTGTTTAAGAAATGAGAACTTGATCAGTGATAATGAAAATTCCATATGTACAAGTATAATACAAAATTATTACTAAACATAATTTGCCTCTAGTTGCGTACTGAACTAATTATCATGCAGGTGACACGACCGTGTGCTAAGGTCCTTGGAGGCCAAGATTGGGATGCAGGGGTCAAACTGCCTCTGTAACCTGGGAAAACAGGTTTCAAGTGGAATCCACACAGATGCTGTGACAGATAAAAAGTGGCACTGCTGGGACACACAGAGGCCTGCATCCATTTTGTGTCCCTCATGTAGGATTTGGGGTGGAGGTGATATGTAAGGTGGCCTGAAGTATAAGGAGAAAGCACACCAGGAAGGAGGAAGCAGGAAGGGGGACAGGAGATGCCTAGCAGGGAGGCAGAGCCCAGGGGCAGAGGAAGGTGGATGGCAGGAGACAAGAATCCAAATGGTCTGAGTACTTTTATTCCATGCTAAGGAACCTAAAATTTCCCTGAAGGCCAAAGGTAAACCAATGACAAAATCAATGACAGGAGCTTTAAAACAAAACTTGTCAAGCAACAGTTTATGAGCTGTAACTGCCTGACTCCTCCTAGATGAGTTCAAACTGTAGCCATGAAGTGGAGAAGCTGAGTAGGCCTCTGTTTTTCAAGCACAGCTTCAGCCTGCAGCTCATTCTCAGGGGAGACCCAGGAGGGAGGGTGCTGAGCCAGGGCAAAGAGATACACAGGCTTTCTGAGACTTTTAAGGTTATGAAACGTGACAAACTGAGGCCTAAGTATATCCTTTAATGGAAATGTTTATATTTTCATGCCTTTCATTTGATGTTATAAAACATTGAATGGAGGCTCTATTACCCAATGAGAGGAAAGAGATGTCATTTGCTTTTTACAATTTATTTCAAAAATCAATAAATATAAATTTAATTCATAAATTTTGGGAACATACCTTCTCTTACTTCTCTAGTTATACTTTAATGCAATTTTTGCTGCATCTGAAATAAATCAAACAGTATTCATAATGTTTAAGTTAAAGAAGAGACATTTTCATGGGAATAGTATGTGTCATTTAGAAAATGTGGCCTTTAAGACTTACAGAGAGAAGATCTAACCTGAAGAATGGTTTAAAAATTACATAAGTAAAATTCTTACTTAGTTTTAAGTTTAGATAATAGACAATACATATATGCAGTGCTGTTAGGTTAATCTCATAGGTACAATAAGTATTGGTCTATTAAAGGGAAAAAGTGGGAGAGAAAAAGTTATTGTAATCCAGCAAGGACAATGTATCTAAAAGTGTACCTTACTACAATTGTCTTGTGTTTTACATATTTTTTTGCCCTATGTTAGTCTGCTTTTTAATCTGTATGTCTGGTAATTAACTTTCTAAATTATCAATAAATGAATCTGATGCTGGCAAAAATAAAAGTGGGTGGAGGAAAGGGGAAAAACTTGAAATGTGTTAAGTGCATGTACTGATTCCCTACAATCAATGTAAATCATTATGTATAAAAAAAAAGTACTAATAAAAGTCAAAGAAAAAAATTGGTGTATTAAATATAAAGATGATGTTTTATTAAAACAAAGTATGAAGCTCATATTTTATACTGAATGCATTACTTTATAATTCTTTCTTCCCCCCTGCGGTACTAGGGATCGAACTCAGGATTTTGGGCTTGCCAGGCAGGTGTGGCACCACTGAGCTACATCCCCCACCCTATCTTATAATTCTTAGCAGAACTTTTCCCATTATAAAATCTTAATCAGTTTTTTCCACTTTAATAGATTTTTCCTGAAAGTAACTCTACTTTTCCCTACTTTAAAAAGAATTAAAAATTAAACATATATTCTGTTATTAAATTTTTAGCACAGAATCTGAAATACAGAAATCGAGAAAGTGATATTGTTATAATGGCATGCCAAAAATCTATTGGCAAAGATTTAAAATACATACAAAGATTTCAGAAAGTCTGCTTAAAAAGGATAAACATAGGTTAAAGCCAGTTTTCCAACTTTCATTGGTTCATCACTTTCTAGAAATGGAAACAAGGAAAACAATATACAGCTCTTACTGTAATTTTGCTATCTTTTCAGAAGTTAGAAGTCAATTCTTCAGAAACATGTGACTCATTAATCTTTTCCATTTATGAAATGTGGGGAATGTGCCCATCTATTTTACACTTTCCCCAGGTAACATGTTCTTACTGAAATCTTTTGGATAAAAGCTTTTTTCGTACTAAGGCTCCAAGGAGGGTGGAACCTAGCACACACAACATAATAATACTTTGTTGTAGCAGTGATAATGTGATACCCAATGCCTTTAAGAATTTTAGGTGTGAAGATAAGTTTCTTTGACAGGTTTCCCAATATTTCAAAAGACTGTTTTCTGTCACATTCCTGCAGCAACAGCATTACAGACAAGTATCACAAAAGTAACAAATGAATACCAAAGGAAACCAAAAGCCTTTATTAAAAGACTCTTATATTACCACTAATTAACACTATGTAAAACATATATCATACTTTTACAAGACTTGAATTAAAGAACTACCAATTATCTTTTCCTACAAAAGTGCTTTCCTACTTACTTCATATAGATGTAAGGTAATAGATTTTATGTCTTTATATCCCATCCACAAAAACTTATAATACATAAATTTGGCTTTGATAAACATCAAATACTTTCCTCAAAAGATCATTTACTTTTGTGAAGAATTATTTTGTCTTTTTCCTTACTTCTTTATCTTACTTTCTGCATTGCTGAGACAAAATACTTAACACCAAAAGTTAAAGGAGGAATGGTTTGCAGCTCACAGTTTGTAGAGGTTTTAGCCCAGAGTCAGCTGGTTTCAAGGCAGAGGGGCATCACAGAGGAGCAATTTTATGGCATGGTAGGCAGAAGGCTGTGAGCCTGCCTTCATCTTTCCCTTTATATCCCATCCAGGTTACAAACCCATTTGGATGGGGTCACCCACGCAGGGTGGGCCTTCCCATTATCCACATCCAGAACTATGCTAAACTAATCAGTGGACTAATTTAGTTACCACACACCCTTAATCTGTATTCACACACTCTAGATCCAGCTACCTCTGAAAAGCTCCACCTATGAGGGCATAAAGCTTTGCGGGAACATTTAGACATAAGTCATAACACTCTTCTGTGTGTGTGTGTGTGTGTGTGTGTGTGTCTGTGTGAGTGTTTCAGTTTGAATCTAGGATGTCACGCATGCTGAACATGGACTCTAGAACTAAACAACACCCCCAACCCTGTAATGAAGACATTTTAACTCTAGATAGCAAATACTTGTGGTATAGCTAATTTAAATAACAACCATTGCTTTTTCTTCTCTTAAAGACTATCTGTCAGAAACTGTCTCTGTTCCAGCCATGAGTGGCCTCCATCTCCATAAATTCTCTTCTAACATATCACTGACACTTGAGTACTTTATAATATAAATGACAGCTGAGGGCAACTGCTTTTCAGGAGAGAGGAAAGCTTAGCGGGCAAAAAAGGACAGACTCAGGATGTCAGGAGGGAGGGCTGCTCTGGAAAGTGGCTCCCAAAGGTCACTCAAGGTCTGGAGAAGAGAAGGCTCCAGCTGTGTCCCGGTTGGTGGGAGTTGGGATGGTTTGGCTCACAAGTGAAAACTGACAATAATTTAGTAAATTAGAAAAGTCCTTTTAATTCTCACTTTCTCATTAAATCCATTTCTTTATATTTCCCTTACTATAAATTCAGAATTGTTGTTCCCAGTAGAATGGTTTACTACAGTGGTCAGCATATATTATGAAAAATGTCTTTGTGACACTAATCACTATCTTTGCTGCTACATGGGGTGTCACCAAAGGCTTCTGACCTGAGTCAAGGAACAGGTTAGCGGAAACTGAATGTTGCCAGGAGAAATAAAAAAGCCTGATACATTGCTAGTGTTTACTTTATGTTTACTACTAAATCAAAAGGTATATTCACTCCTTGTGAAGTAATATATATATTATATATTATAATTATATAAAATATATAAATAATATTTTTAAGGAAACGCGCTCCTTTCTCTGTAGCTTCATGTTTATTTCTTGATGAGGATTGTGCTTCCAAGGCTGGAGAAAGTGAGTCCAGCCTTAATGAGGGAAGCAAGTCTGCAGCGTCTTTTATACTTGCCATTTCCAAAAACATAAGGTGACAAAATTGTGCACAGCAGAACAGTGCACCGTGGCGTTCAGCTTATTAGAATTCTCTGACAGCTGCTGGTTTTCAAACTATGTTGGCAGAATCTAAGGTTGCACTGAGGACACTGCAGGAAGAATGGAGAACAAGTGCCCCTTTAGAGCCTCCACCCCTTCCTCAGCCAGACAGTTCTACTTCTGCTTCGTATAACAGTTTCATGCAAAGTTTTTCTTTAAAAAGTTCTACTTGAAAAATATTTTTAGAAAATAGTGAAAGTCAAAGTCCTTAATTTAAAACATGAGCCACCACAGGATCAGAGAGGTCATAACTTGGCTGAAGTCACAGAGCCAATGGCTCAGGCAAGAATGGGCTTGCAGTCATCTTGCAGGGCCTGGAGTTCTATACAGTTACTTCTCTCATATTGAGGAAGGAGTATACATTTTAAAATCACTTTAGAGAAAATATGTAAAACTGTCATGGAGCTCAATGATGTTCAACATGAGACGTTAAGAGTAGCTCTATCCCGAGTCACGTGGAACACGCAGAATCAGCCCATGCCCAGGCAACAATCCACTGGATGCCCACCCCCGCTCCTCTGTACAGCCACCTGGTTCCACACTACAAAGACGCAGAGGACACCGGACCACGAGACCACAGTACTGAGTCCCGCTGCTCCCGGCCCAGAGGTAGGGGCTTCTGAGCCGCTGTCCCACTGCTCCTGGTCCAGAGGAAGGGGCTTCCTGGCCACCATCCCTTCCACTGCTCCCAGACCAGAGGATAGGGCTTTTGGGCCCCCTTCTGTCCCTCCACTCCTGGTCCAGAGGAAGGGGCCTCCAGGCCACCATCCCTCCCACCACTCCCAACACAGAGATAGGGGCTGCTGAGCTGCCATCCCACTGCTCCTGGTGCAGAGGAAGGGGCTTCCTGGCCACCGTCCCTCCCACTGCTCCCAGCCCACAGGAAAGGGCTTTTGGGCCACCATCCCTACCGCTGCTCCCCGGCCTCTGTCCCACCTCTTCCAGCTCTGAGGAGGTAATCTGTGCAGGTGCCAACAGCCCCCACCCCAGATGAAATGAGAAAACACGTAAATAAGTCTCAAAACCAGACTTCCAGATCACCTACAGCAACCTCAATGGGAAATGAGATGGAACA